TCCCTCCCTCCCTTCCTCCCTTTCTTCCTTCCTTCCTTCCTTCCTTCCTTCCCTCCTTCCCTCCTTCCTTCCTTTCTTCCTTTCTTTCCTTTTCTTTCTTTCCTATTGAGGTATAGTTGATTTACAATGTTTTAGTTTCAGGTGTACAGCAAAGTGATTCAGATACACACACATGCACACACACACACACACAGATCCTTTTCCATTATAGATTGTTACAAGATATTGAATATAGTTCCCTATGCTATACAGTAGGTCCTTGTTGTTTATCTATTTTATATATAGTAGTGTGTATATGTTGATCCCGAACTCCTAATTTATCCCCCATCACTTTCCCCTTTGGTAACCATAACTTTGTTTTCTATGTCTGTGAGTCTGTTTCTGTTTTGTAAATAACTTCATTTGTGTCATATTTTAGATTCCACATGTAAGTGATATCATATGGTATTTGTCTTTGACTTACTTCACTTAATATGATAATCTAGGTCCATCCATGTTGCTGCAAATGGCATTATTTTATTCTTTTTTATGGCTGAGTAATATTCCATTGTATATATGTGCCACATCTTCTTTATCCATTCCTCTGCTGATGGACATTTAGCTTGCTTCCATGTCCTGGCTATTGTAAATAGTGCTTCAATGAACATTGGGGTACCTGTGTCTTTTTGAATTATGGTTTTCTCAGGGTTTATGCCCAGTAGTGGGATTGCTGGTCATATGGTAGTTCTATTTTTAGTCAAAATCAGAAGAATTTTATGGAACTATTATTTCAGTAATGTGATTTTGCGGGGGTCCAGTAGATCTCAGAAAATAACATTCAAGATGTCCTATGACCCCACAATCCTGTTAAATAAGTCAGATAGTATAAGTATATTCAGCATGTCCAAATATATCAAGGGGTAGCCGGGATATAAGAGGGAACGTCTCCTGAATAATAAGTTATCTGGGTAAGGGCACAACGGTTCAAAGTGAACTCTGTTCTATTTTCTGTCATGCGTTTTACAATTTTTTCTAAAAAAAAAAATCCACCTCAGCATCACCAGCTGTCTCTACTGCTTTTTGTTAATCCTATCATATCCATTTCTGTGAAAACAAAATGTGTTAGACCAAAAAAATTAAATGCAAAGGAGAAAGAATATATTTTATTTTTGTTCTTTCTTCCTCTCCAAATGAGGTCACTTTGAGACACCTTCAGGATGTAAAATATGTATGTCCAAAGCAATTCACCCCGTTAATAATGTATCTGCGGTTTTTCCTCTATATTTCTTCTAAAATGTAGGCAAAAGTCAGCGATTATGTGAACTGACAAGGCTTTGCCTGTTTTTACTTTTAAATCGGAGATCTTCGTGTTAAATGCATAGCTATGAAGAAAGGCAGCTGCCGAGAGACATCTCTCTTCCTATTTTGTTCTTAATGATTTCAGCGAAACTATGAAAAAGGAGTCGCTGTGAATTGAGTTTTTGGAAACCATACAGGAGTTTTTCCGGTTCTGCACCTCATCCTTTCTCAGTAAAAGGTTGACTTTATCTTGCCTTCCTGAGCTATTTATGCCATTTGCAGAGATCTAAACAGATGTGTTTCATTCATATTTCATTCAGAATCATGTCTTAATATGAAGGTTTGATTTTTTTTCCCCTGAAATTATTTAGACTTTAATTTCTTATTTTCTACTTTATGTGGAAAAATCCCTTAATCTTTCTCTAATGGAATTCTTGGACAGAAACATAGATCAATTTGAACCAGGAGCATTATTTAGTCTTTAGAATTGTTTTATGTACGACTGCACTTTTTCAACTGAGAACACATCATATTTTATAAAATAGGTAAGTGTGGGCAGTAATGAAGTGTATCTGTCACTTGCACATTAATGTCTCTGTTCATGTTTCTGTCGTGTATTTCACTCCTACAAAAAGTAAAGTACATTTTTTTCTTTTTTTTCTGTTGCAAATTCATTTCTGGTCGTTTTACCCCATAGCAGTAAATTCATAGAGGCTCAGAGTCAATGGTCTTAAACCCCGAGTACCATAAATCAACCTTGCATTGGCTTTATAATTTCTGTTTCGTTTCTTTGGGTCAAAAAAGATGCCTTTTTCTAGAACACTGCACAGTTTACTGAGCAGAGGGGAGCACTTCCCTATGGTATTAATTAATCCATTTCCTCCTCGCTGCCTTTTGAGGATGCGTGGTGAAAAATCCCAGAGGGAGAGAAGAAAACCAACTCTCCATCACCCACATTTCTGGAGGCCTTGAAGGAAAGCAGGACACATTCTCCATATTTAAAATAATGTGGTGTCAAAGACTTCCATCATAAATATGGTGTCTGTATTTCCAGCGTAAGTACAGATGAGGTACTTGACGTCCACACAATTGTAGAAATATCCGTGTTTGTTATTGCCTTTACTATTACTTTGATTTTTTAGTTCAGTACATTTATTATTGCCTTTACCATTACTCCATGCCCCTTATGTAGAGCTGGAGACATAAAAATGTAAATTTGACAAAGTTGGGTTCACTCTGATGAACATTTCACTCTGTATGTAATGTCCACCAAAATGTGGACATTACAGGAAAAATGAGGTTAGTAAGTGGCAGGTACAATTAACTAACATCCATCCCATACATAATAAGTATATGAATAAGATAGATATCTTAACGTTGTATATATATCAGTATAAACATTATATATAATATGTCTATTTCTATTTTGCTGGAGGTTTTCTTTAAATGAAAAAATAGTGACATTTAGTCAACGCCTTTCATCACTTATAGCAATTACATATATATGGTGATGACAGTCGTACGTTTAATAAGTTAACACAAGAATTTACCTTTGTTCTTGAAATAAACCTCAAGTCATCACAGTGAGTGTTTCTTTAAACATCAGCTGGATTCTAATTGCTAGTTGTTTAAAACATATCTATCAATTTGTTGTTGTTTGTCTGATATTTCTTGGATTTTGTCAGTACTTTGCTAGCTTCATAATCAAATGTGGAACTACTTCGCCTTTTCTGTGTCCTAAACCAAGGTAAATATTAGCAAGTAAATCTTATTTTCAAAGAAGAAATTTCTGAAGCCATCTGGAAATGCCGTCTTGGAGGGGGAGAATGGGCGAGACAGGGAGTGAAGTTGGGTCTCTCTGGGATGATATAATTAGTCAGTTTCCAGTTTCTCTTTCTTCTGGGGGAGAAAAATGGATGTACAGCGAGGCATCCATTTTACTCAAGTTTTCAAATGCATTTGCACGGACTGGACCAAACAAGTTGATTTTGATTCCTTGACCTCCTTCATAGCTAAGATTTCGTCTGCACATTTCCTACATTATACATTTGGACTCCCTGCCCTTTTTTATGATGATCATGTTAAACAGTTTATCTGTCATATTTTTTCTTTACCAAAGAACCCATACTAGGAAGTTTTGTTAACTTTTATCCTCGTGTATCTTTTTTTTTAAGATATATTTATTTATTGCTTTTTGGCTACGTTGGGTCTTCGTTGCTGCGTGTGGGCTTTCTCTAGTTGTGGCGAGCGGGGGCTACTCTTTGTTGTGGTACGCGGGCTTCTTATTGCGGTGGCTTCTCTTGTTGGGGAACATGGGCTCTAGGCGCGTGGGCTTCAGTAGTTGTGGCACGCAGGCTCAGTAGTTGTGGCTCGTGGGCTCCAGAGTGCAGGCTCAGTAGTTGTGGCTCACGGGCTTAGCTGCTCCGCGGCATGTGGGAACTTCCCGGACCAGGGCTCGAACCTACGTCCCCTGCATTGGCAGGTGGATTCTTAACCACTGTGCCGCCAGGGAAGTCCCTATCCTCATGTATCTTTTAAAAATTTTACCCTCTATTAATTCCTCTCTAATTCCTGCAGCATCTATGTACTTTGGGCTGTTGTTGTCTTTTGGATTTTGCTTGGCAAATGCAAGGTGTGGTTAGAAAGCTTCCTTCAAGCATCAGCAGTGTTCAGCATGATGAACTGGTTTCTGGAATAATATAACTCTGTTACTCAAAGTAACTTTATGGTTCCAACACTCCGGGCTGCAGCATTCAGAAACATTACTATTTAAAATTTCATGCCCACTAGGCATAGACCATATCACAAAGGATACCCAACATGAGTATGAGGAAATAGCATGGATTTCTGTTAGCAACCACACCAGGGGAATTTAAATATACTTTGGGAATTTAAGCCCAGTATTGTTTTCCAGAAGTGTGAAGGAAGCAGGGATACTTAGTGGAAAACATTAAGTTTTAAAGTTTTTCCACCAGCAGAACCCTATTGAATGTAAAGTGCTAATACGTTACTTCTTCTGATTTCTTTCCTCTTTCTCCTACTAGGTTTGAATTACTCAGTATTTGACCTAGACAGGAATTTCCAACCATATGCACAATTATAAGAACACCAGAGTGTTTCAAATATAACTTTTTTTGTTGAACGTGAAGTAGAAATGGTTCATTCCATTAATGCAAACCATCTATTTGAGTCAAATGTTTTGGTGCTGCTATCTAGCTTTTTTTCTTTTTTTTTTTTTCTGACAGCCTCAGTTGTAAATTTGGCCACTTATAGGTTGGGTTTCTAGTATGATAGAGACCTTCAACTGTTTCACAATATCTGTATAAAATACTTTCTACTGAAGAAGTGTGATTACCCATATTAGCACTAATGGAAAATGTCTCCATGCCAGATCGTTTTCAATAAACATGCACCGAGTGTCCTGGAACAGGGCTAGCACTGGGGTTTGAGGCAGTGCCCTTAGGAAATTACGTGCGTGCTCCTTGGAATTTTATCACCGCCTTACTTTGTTATTTAACAAAAACTTGTAAAATAAACTGATTGAAAGAAAAATCCCTACATCAACTCTTTTCACAGCAAGGATTCTTAAAGTTGGGCTTTATGCATTTATTAGCTACTCTAAGACATCACATTCAAATTTGGGTCAGAAAAGAATTTAGGACAAAAACATTAGATGCCTGTTTTAAATTATTATTTTATTTTATTTTTATTTTTTTCCAGCTTTATTGAGATATAATTGACTTATAACGTTGAGTACAATTAAGGTGTGCAATCTGATGATTTGTTTATATTGTGAAATGATAATAACAATAAGTGTGGTGAGAACTTTTAAAATCTCTCTTAGCAACTTTCAAGTATATGATACAGTATTGTTAACTGTATGTTTACTGGATTTATACGTAACCATGCTGTACATTAGACCCCAGAACTTATTCGTCTTGTAACTGAATGTTTGTACCCTTTGACCGACATCTCCCCGTTTTCTCCACCCCCCCAGCCCCTGGTAACCACCGTTCTCCTCTCTGGTTCTATGAGTTTGTTGTTGTTGTTTTTTCAGATTCCACATACAAGTGAGATCAAACGGAATTTGTCTTTCTCTGTCTGACTTATTTCACTTAGCATAATGCCCTCAAGGTCAGCCCATGTTGTCACAAAAGGTAAGAACTCCTTCTTTTTAACTTATATATATATATATATTATTTATAGTAGCCAAGATATATATTCTATATAAACATATATATTATATATATTACATACACATATACAATATACATATATGTGTACACATATACATATATAATATATATCTTGGCTAATGTAAATATATGTATACCCTTTTCCTTTGGCTATATACCCAGAACTGATACTGCTGCGTTATATGGTAATTATATATTTAGTTTTCTGAGCAAAGTCCATACTGTTTTCCATAATGGTTGTAGCAATTTACATTCTGACCAACAATATACAAGGGTTCCCTTTTCTCCGCATCCCTGCCAGCACTTGTTATTGCTTGTCTTTTTGACCATGGCCGTTCTAACAGGTGTGAGGTGGTATCTCATGTGGTTTTGGTGTGCATTTCCCTGATGTCCATTTAGTGATGTCCATCACCTTTCCGTGGGTCTGTTGATAGTTTGGTTTAGTCCCACTTGTTTATTTTTCATTTAGTTGCTTTTGGTTTCATATCCAGAAAAATCATTGCCAAGACCAATGTCAAGGAGTTTTTCCCCTGTGTTTTGCTCTAGGCGTTATATGGTTTCAGGTCTTTCATTTAAGTTTTAAACTATGTGAAGTTACTTTTTTGTGAGTGGTGGTATAAGATGGGGGTCCAGTTTCATCATTTTCATGTGGGCATCCAGTTTCTTCAGAAAAATTTATAGAAGAGACTGTCTTTTCCCCATTGAGTATTCTTGGCTCTCTTGTCCAATATTAGTTGACCATATATTAGATGTCAGTTTTAAGGTGTGATAATTCTAGGTAGACTATAAGTTCTGGCATGTGTGGGATTCTTTAATAATTTAACTCAGTAGGGAATGAAATGGCTATCAAAGCAGCACAAGTTATCCAAAGCAAGAATCAATTCACCCTGGCTTATATGAATTGTTTCTTTTGGAATTTTCAGTCAGAATTAGCTAAAAGAAAGAAAACCACTAGTTTACTTAATATTCAAATTTAGTCTTTGAAGTAAACCAGTGTATTTTCTTAATATTCTTAAGGCAATTTTCATATTAGCAAATAATGGTTTCTAGTACTCTGGCATCTAACCCACCTGTTATAATTCTCTCATCGCCTCTATTTTGGTGAAGTGCGCAATGCAACAATCATACAGAAAAATAAGAAGGATGCGACATGTATGCTGAAATGCTTTGCTGTTTTGTAAGGACATGGATTTTGTAGGGCCGGTGGCTTTGAACACTCCCAGGGGAACAGGAATTGTCTAGGCATTTCGAGGTGGTGATGGGCCTAATATAAGACTCTGTGTCTCAAACTGACACATCTTGGTTTCACATCCCTTTCCTCCCTTCTGATGGAAGTGCTAATAAGTGGAAAAATGGCCAAGAGACTGTCAGTGCAAAAAAGGAATAATAGGCAAAGAAGAGCTCTTTGGGACGTGACTGCATTTTTAAACAGTTAGAGAATGAAACCCTGTTATTACTATTGTTCTATCGTCTTTGTTTTTAAGAAACTATTCCTATATTATGCTTTAAGACAAACCTGAAATCAACCTGCATAGATCATGCTGGTTAATCAGAGAGGGGGAGAAAACAAGAAGAGAACAAATAGGTTCATATAACATTCTTTTTTTTAAATATTCTTTTCCATTATGGTTTATCATAGGGTATTGAATATAGTTCCCTGTGCTCTACAGTAGGACCTTGTTGTTTATCCATCCTTTGTAAAATACTTTGCATCTGCGAATCCCAACCTCCCACTCCGTCCCTCCCACACTCCTCCTCCTTGGCAACCACAAGTCTGTTCTCTATGTCTGTGAGTCTGTTTTGTAAATAAGTTCATTTGTGTCGTATTTTAGATTCCACATATAAGTGATATCATATTGTATTTGTCTTCCTCTTTCAGACTTACTTCACTTAGTATGATTTACATTCAGGTGTCCAACTTTCCCAGCACCACTTGCTGAAGAGACTCTCTTTTTCCCATTGTGTATTCTTGCCTCCGTTGTTGAAGATTAATTGACTGTAGGTGTGTGGGTTTGTTTCTGGGCTCTATATTCTACTCTTTGTATCTGTATGTCTGTTTTTGTGCCAATACCATGCTGTTTTGATTCCTGTAGCTTTGTAGTATTGTCTGAAGTCAGGGGGGGTTCTGCCTTCTGCTTTGTTCTTTTTCTTCAGAACTGCTTTGCCCATTCTGGATCTTTTATGGTTCCACAAAAATTTTAGGATTATTTGGTCTAGTTCTTTGAAAAATGTCATGGGTAATTTGATCAGAAGCACATTAAGTCTGTAGATTGCTTTTGGGTAGTATGGCTAAATGCCTCCATTTTTTTGTGGGGGGGCTGCATTGTGTTTTTGTTGCTGCGCGCGGGCTTTCTCTAGTTGCAGCGAGCGGGGGCTACTCTTCGTTGTGGTGCGTGGGCTTCTCATTGCAGCGGCTTCTCTTGTTGCAGAGCATGGGCTCTAGGCATGCGGGCTTCAGTAGTTGTGGCGCATGGGCTCAGTAGCTGTGGCTCGCGGGCTCTAGAGCGCAGGCTCAGTAGTTGTGGCGCAGGGGCTTGGTTGCTCCATGGCATGTGGGATCTTCCCGGACCAGGGCTCGAACCCATGTCCCCTGCATTGGCAGGCACATTCTTAACCACTGTGCCACCAGGGAAGCCCCCAAATGCCTCCATTTTTGAACGTGCATCCCCTGAGAAACACGTAACTCTGATAGTCCTGCACAGAACACCAATTACCTCACCTTTTTCCTAACCTCCAATCACCTTTCCCCATACCTAAGACCACCCTGCTTCTTCATCTTGTAAATATCTCAAGCCCCTCCCCTTCAGGGAGGTGGGTCTGAGATTTGTTCTCCCATCTCCTTGCTTGGCTGTCTTGTGAATAAACCCTTTCTCTGCTGCAAACCCAGCATCTCAGCGTTTGTCTTGCTGTGCGTTGGGCAAACAAACCTGGGTGGGTTACACCTATTCATCTAAAACTTGTGTCACCCCTCTTCTAAAAGAATACCCATTGGTGGGGATCAATCAGTACCAGGAGTTACTCTTACACACTCAGAAAAAAAGAAGGAGAATTGAGTGGCTTGGGTATTTCTTTTAAGTACCCCAATTTCTCCTCCCCAGTGAAATTTCTTCTATGCTGCCCTCCTGACACACCCTCAGATAGGAAAAAGGAGCCATGCAAGTGTGTCCTGTGGCTTGGAAAACGTCTTCAGTTGGTTAAGGAACTCATCCCTGATTCTAAAGGAGAGATTCCTCTCCTAGAAAAAGCTCTTGGGACTAACAGTTAATGGTACAAAGACTTGGGTGATAATACTTACAAGTTACTGAGTCTCACATGCAACCTTTATGGTTAGAACTTTCATTATTTCAAGACTTGGAAAAGTCCTGAAGTAGTAAATCCAAGTCTTCAGAGCACAAGTCATTCCTTAATCCTTTTCAGTGGTTGTGATTTTCTCATACTATGACTATTTTCAATCCACATACTTATGGGTTCTGGGAGATCCAAGGCATAGCAGTGGTTTGGGGGAGAAGGAACAGCCATGAACCAGAATATATTTCTCTGTCACAGTAAAATTCTGCGAGGCACATCCTATTCTTATACACCAGTACAATTTTGCCCATATGTAGGATTCCAGCAGCTCCATGGCACCATCACAAAGTTATAATTTCTTGCCAGTGGAAATGTCCACCCAACATTTTATAGTAGGTGACAGATCAGGGGTTTAAATCCAGAACTTCTGCCTAAAAAGTTAGTGCAACATGGGAGATACACGTGAGAATTTGTTTTATTCATGGGGCCAAAGATTAGTAGAAAAAAAACAGTGTTTAAGAAAACTTGAGGGGCTTCCCTGGTGGTGCAGTGGTTAAGAATCCGCCTGCCAATACAGGGGACACGGGTTGGAGCCCAGGTCCGGGAAGATCCCACATGCCACGGAGCAACTAAGCCCGTGCGCCACAACCACTGAGCCTGCGCTCTAGAGCCCGTGAGCCAC